ATGAATTTATAATTTACTAAGATGTATTTGAAAACACAAGGTCCAGTGCATTAAACTTGTTTGATAAAAAAACAAATCGAACGGCATTCAAATTACTGTTGTTCCTTATCTTGGTATTAACTGTATTGTTTTTTTTTGACATCAAAGTTCATAACTTTTAAACTGCCATTACGCACTCATCACTAAATATCCTTGTAAGTAGATCTTTGAATATTGTGAATATTCTTTTATTTGGTATAAATATTAATTTTGTTATCAGTAAACTAAATCCAAACAAAAATTATCGTTATATACATATTCATAAACAGATTCACGGTTCTAGATTTTGTCGATACCTGTATTTTGGCACTGCACAAGGTCATGTTTTTCACTGTATATGACGTCTTTATACTAAATCTATTGAATGTTGAATGTGTACTGATTGATATTTTAGAAACATGATGTTTTTATTAGTTGAAATAGGCTTTAAACTAGCAGTCAGTAAGCATATTTTTGTTGCGGGGATGTGTAAATAACCTGCCAAGTCCAGTCTGTGTTTTTGTTCCTTGTTTTTCTGCTTTGTATTGATCTGATGAGTCAAGCCCTTTTCAATTGATTTGTATAGTTGTTCACATGTTGTGCTGTTACACTATTGTCCCTGGTTAGGGGTATGGTTGGGCGCCCGCAAATATGTTTAACCCTGCCATACTCTGCATGTGCCTGTTATTGAGTGGTTGTCGTTTGTTGCTGTATATCATATTTGGTTTTTGGTTTATTGTTTTGTACATCAATCAGGCCGTTTGTTTTCTTGTTTGAATTGATTTACATTAGTCATTTCGGGGCATTTTATAGTTGACTATGGTATGGGTTTTGCTCATTGTGGAAGGCCTTACGATGACATATAGTAACTGTTGTTAACTTCTTTGTTAGTTGGTTTCTGGTTGAGAGATGTCTCATTGGCAATCACACCACATCTTCTTATTTTTATGAAAATGTTAAATACAAAAAGTTTGAAGCACTAAAGCAAGTATGTAAGCAGCTTACAAGTATGGAGATGTAATGATCGTTTGGAGTATTTTATTTGATAAATTTTTGGGACTTACCATACCACGTCTTTCGAATTATTTTGTATGAGTGAAATGATCTATGATTATCATAGCTATATCATAAATGTGTTTGCTTTGTTTGTTCACAATAAAAAAAATGTTTCAAAATACATCATGGTAAATGCAGATTGTTTTATTTGTGTAGGACAGCTTTTTGTAAACATGAAATGTTTGTCTTTATTGATTTTTACTTGAGTAAGAGAGAGAGAGAGAGAGAGAGAGAGAGAGAGAAGGAATTCCAAATTCAAACAACTTCAGTTTTTTAAAATGAAACAAAGCGAGGAAAAAGTGTTAAAGTGTTTTGTGCTGACGCGACGTGAAGCTATCAACCAATCAGTCATCTTGTTCTACACCTAAATCTCATCCAGTTGTGAAACTGATTCTATTTTGATACTTGATAAAACTTATCACAGATACCAGACTATTAAATCATTACACCAGAATCGTGATTGGTTTGCATAAGACTCTTCAATGGCATTCGATCCCCCTATAACTATTACAGGACGTATAACTTATTGTTCTGGTGAATTAACATGGTTAAAATAGGAGTACCTCCTCCCGTTTAACAGATAGAACGTTTAAACTAGAAAATAACAGAAATCAAAAACATTACAAATGAATTTATTCATTAGGGATATGTCGTATATCTTTGTCAAGTATAAGTTTTATTCGATTTCCTGACTTTGTCACACAATGAAAAATACGTAATTTGAGATGATTCATCAATCCAGTCTTCACAAGTTATCATGAAAGTACAAATATGTAAATGTGTATCCGGGCGTGAAACACTATGGTACTTTATAAAGAATAATATTCATTGAAGACAATCTGTCCACATTTTATTGATAATAAAACTTGAATTATGTTGAATGTTAATGAGCATACATACGACGACCCTACTAGAGAGAGTATATACATAACTTGCATCCATTTCAGATGATTATCGAAAGTATGATGATTTAAAACCATCACGCTCGTATCACTCAAATTTTGAACCTCAACCAGATCCTGAACCATATCATGTATGCCAAGATGTTAAAATCAAATTTTGGATACCGTTCACTACTGTTATTATAATGGGCTTAGTGGCTGGGCTGACGTACATTGTGATTCAATCTTGCTTCAATACAGAAGTATGTATTAAATCTAACGACAGTGGAAATGCAGATTTTCGGATATCAGAAATTTGGACAAAATGTCCAAATGACTGGAAGCTATTCGATGTGTGGTGTTATCAATAATTTTCAGAACGGCGGACATGGTTTCAGGCTCGTGATTATTGTCAAAGTAACGGAACTGATCTAGATGTGGGCCTGGTGTGTGGATATATTACAAGAATTCTTGTTATGCAATTAATACATTACTTTATTCTAATTTCACAGAAGCCCGTACATTTTGTAAGAACAATGGTTCAGATTTAGTTATCATTGGGTCTAAAGAGGAATACAATTTCATAATAAGTCAAACTACTAAGCATCCAGGTGCTGATTTTTTGATTGGATTACAGAAACTAAGGAATCAGACATACAGATGGATAGATGGCAGTCATCCTACGTACCTCACCTGGGGTATAGATGAACCCAAAGCAAATAATGATTTATGTGTCAAATCATCTTCCATGTATGGAAATCGGGAAGGTGATAATTGCAGCAATCAAAATCGGGTTGTTTGTCTGAAATGATTTCTTAGAAATGAATAAAAATATCACTAGTTATATTATATTAGAAAATTGAATATTTGCAAAAAGTTGTAAAAATCAATAATAATTTTCACTGATGCATACTCGTTTTTACTTGAAATTATGAGATAATTTCTCGTTAAGTGACCACAATATGATGCAATGTTACTGAACGAAGACGTTTACATATTTCTTTGAGTATCAAGGGGATAAATAGTCGCTAAAAATAATACAATGAATACATTTAAACGCTAACCGTATCTGTTGCTGTTAATGCATATTAGATAAAGAACGCCACAAAACAGTTAAACTAAGCATTACAACTGTGTATAACAACAATATATTCCTGTTGTAGACGAAACACAATGATGTCGTTCTAAATGATAAGCCTGGTATCTTTGTTTTTTTGCCGGAATCTTCTACCTGAGAAAATTCATTTTGCACTATAAATTAACCATCATTACTGTAAAATCGAAAATTTGAGTTAAGATATAACCTTCAAGTTTAAATGGATTTAGCCATATACTAATGAGCGTGTACCAAGTCTGGTTAACTAAACCATATATCATTCGTTGTTGTTTGTCTTTGTTTGTATGTTTTTTTTTCGGAGGAGTTTGGGTTAGTGATTAATGTTGTCTGTTATACTATGTGGTATTTTTTGGCGTTTCCCGTTATTTCTCTTTATGTATTAGTAACTTAGTAACTACTTTACAAACGAACAAAATAAAAAAAAGTAAGTCCAAATCCCTCGTACCTCAAAATATCACAAAATAAAAATGGTATTCGCGCTGAAAAGAACAAATAAAACAAGGATCTGATAGGATACACGTCTTTCATGCAAGGCAGGTAAAACTTTATTTTAAAAAATATTCCAGGAACCAACAGGGTAGATAGTGTTGTTTAATGGTAACCTGGTTGATTAAAATTATATACGCCCTGCCTGATATCAAGAGGGCAGAATGATCTTGGTTTATCAACCTAGTTGCGTTCATACATCGGAGGTATATGCTTATCAGATTATCAGTCTTTTCCATATCGCCCCGGTTTTCATTCGAGGACTCCCATGTAAATAAAGGAAACAGTAGTATACCGCTGTTCAAAAGTCATAAATCGATTAAGAGAAAAAAAATCCGGGTTACAAACTAAAACCAAGGGAAACACCTCAAATATAAGAGGAAAACAACGGAACAACAGAAACACTGAACTGCAACAAAAACAAACGCCAACATACATAGAAACGGACTATTTGATAACAACTGCCATATTCCTGACTTGGTACACAGGCAATTTTTTCCAACGTGATTTTAACATGGGAATCACGTGATATTCACGTTGTCCACACCACGTGAGTACAACGTGAAAAGAGCAGAAACGTAATATTCACGTTGTGAGCACAACGTGAAATAAACGTTCGTCTCACGTGATATTCACGTTGTATATAAATCCACATAATATCAACGTGATAATACAACGTGATATTCACGTTTAATATAAAGCCAAGTGATATAAACGTGATAATACAACAAGACTTTTATGTGAAGCAGCCACTAGGAAAAATGAAATATCGTCTTTGTTGCTCTCATTGACATATCATTTTTTGTTCTTGGTCATCTCTATTTGAAGATGTTTCTCTGGTTCTTTATGGTAAAAGTACTGTAAAAGTGAGTTATACATCACTAAATTGTCTTATATTGATTATCAGTTACCTCATATGCATGTTTTATCAACCTGTTATCATCCTGAATATGTATGTAATATTTGTGGCTGGATGTTAAGCATCCATTAAAACTTATATATATATATATATATATATATATAAATCCAAATCTTATTTAAACCATGAGACTGTTTCTACATGTTTGAAACCTTTCGAATCTTCCTGTTAGTATTTCTTTTTTTGTTTGTTTGAAATTCTTGCTTTATAATCGCGTTTGTTTGACAATTCATAAAAAATCTAAAAGTATGAATACCAATGTCAAAGTCAGCTACATTTTAAATTTATACAATGTTTGAAAAGAAGTCGAATTCGAAATTGCACAACAAATAATGCAAAACCAAATGTATACCAAACAACAATTCAATACAGACTAGCTATTTTACAATGTTCATTCTTCAAGAGTTGTGTCCCTTGCAGGTTTACCATGACAAATCTAAAAATAATCAGCTTATGATTAAAAAATTGTCCCTAACAGAGGCATATGTTACCAAATGTTAAAAAAAACAAAACACTTTCCACATTAAATTCAATTATATTTATATTTAAGAATATTCTAAACAGTTAACATTTGAAAAGTTACTGAAATAGTAACAAATAATATTTGATTGTTCCGTCTTCTAAATGCTCCACTCTTTTGAAAGTTTCTTCATCTGAAAGGATAAAAAAAAGAATTTTATTTACTGTTATAATATTATCTTATTTAAGCATACATAATGAAAGCTTTATTTTACTTCTAATATGAGTGTTGCTTTTGCTTTGTAAACAACAATGTGATAAAATTCTCAATATATCTATAGTTTACAACCCTATTAAACATTATTATTATATACATATGCACTTTCATGGATCTACAATCTGTCATTTCCTGTATCTTGGCATTGCACCAGGTCATGTTTTTTTCTGATTGTTTATGATGTCTTTACACTAAATCCATTGGATGTTGGATGTGTACTGATTGATAATTTATTCTTAGATGCATTTTTTTTTTTAAGTTGTTATTGGCTTTGAACTAGCTGTCAGTATCTGCACTCTCAGATTTGTACTAAGTGTCTGTTTGTTGTTGGGATGTACAAGTACCCATCCACGTCCACTCTGTGTTTTTGTTGTATGTATTTCTATTTGTATCCATCTGTTGAGTGCAGCCTTTTTCAACTGATTTTTTTAGTTCGTTCTAATGTTGTGCTGTTGCACTTCTGTCCCAGATTAGGGGAGGGTTGAGATCCCTCCCAACATGTTTGACCCTGCCACATTCTGTATGTATGTGCCTGTCCCAAGTCAGGGGTCTGTAGCTAAGTGGTTGTTTGTTGTTACATATTTGTTTTTTTCGTTAATTTTTTCATACATTAATCAGGCCGTTAGTTTTCTCGTTTGAATTGTTTTACTTTTGTGATTTATAGCTGAATATGCAGTATGGGCTTTAGTCATTGTTGAAGGCCGTACAGTGACCTATAGCTCTTAATTTCTGTGGCATTTGGTTTCTTGTGAAGGGTTGTCTCATTGGCAATCATACCACATTTTTTTTATATGTATCATAACTAATGTGGTGATTTGCCTGTGTAAAATTGAAATGAAAACTAGACAAAGTGACTCCACTCTGAAGTAACTGTATTATAACAAAGTCAATGTATGACTTTCTTTGAGATATTATTGTGTCTGGGAGACACAATTGATGCCCCCGCAGATGCAAAGTGTTATTATAAAATAACTATAACATTTAAATTAACGCTTACACCCAAAAAATGACAAAAGTTCAACTATCTCCCAAAAGAGTAAATATTAATAAAAATCAAAACCCTGACCACATGCACACCTTCAATGTATGTACAAACAGCCAGCAAAGTGAAAAATTCCTAGCATTCAAACTGTAGGAGGAGTTATCTGGAAACGCTCCTCTTATGAAAGTAAATACTCCAAAAATTGACAAAGTTCAACTATCTCCCAAAAGAGCAAATATTAATAAAAATCAAAACCCTGACCACATGCACACCTTCAATATATGTACAAACAGACAGCAAAGTGAAAACTTCCTAGGATTCAAACTGTAGGAGGAGTTATGCGGATTAACTATATACCCATAATGGGACGGACGGACAGGGGTAAAACAATATGCCCCCCAACTTTCAGTTGCGGGGGCATAAAAAAAACATGACTGAATGTACAGGGCCAAATAATCTCCATGGAAATGTGATGTGCCAATACTAATACAACTGAATACCAAATATCATTGGCCCATCACTAAAGGTTCCCCTTAAACTGACAAACATTTTTGGGGCCCTTTATAGATTGCTGTTCGGTGTGAGCCAAGGCTCTGTGTTAAAGACCATACTTTGACCTATAATGGTTTACTTTTACAAATTGTGACTTTGATGGAGATTTGTCTCATTGGCACTCATACCACATCTTCTTACATCTAATCACAAACTTATATGCTAAGTGACTTTAGTATTTCATTGTCCGTATCATTTCACGGTATGTATAAAACTTTTTTCTTTTTTTTTACATTTCTTTTGTTGTGTGATATCTAATAAATTTTGTATATATATATATATATATAGGCAATCGCCAATGGCAGTCAGTGGGGTTTAAGAACATCAGTTGTTCGACCTGTTAGTCAAATGCGTTTTGTTAAAATATACTTTTTCACTTTTTTGGTCTTTTGGCAAATGTTGTTTGTGCTGTATTTAGACCCCTCTACCAAGAAATTTGTTTTGCATGCACATGTATAAAAATTGCGGTTTTTATCCAACGCAATCATAGGTTTGAACGTCGTTTTCAATTTAGACATGTTTATATTTTTTTGTTTGGGCTTGTATTATATTTTCCTTCGGGTTTATCTGATCCGTTCATCCTATTTCGACTCTTTAAAATTCAAGAGTCTATCCTAAATTGAGGTAAATTTTATGGCCTTCCAAATACTGTTTCGATCCCTAACATCACTGAAGAGACATTAATTGTCGAAATCCGGATATGGTGTACTAATTTTTGCACCTTTTGTTTGCGGTATACCATCTTTTCCGCATATTTGTTTTCTGTTTGGTATTAAATATTAATTTTTAAAGATCCATTTTGTTACATCTTGTGATCCGTTTATTTGGCAATCGCCAATGGCAGTCAGCAGGGTTTAAGAACATCAGTTGTTCGACCTGTTAGTCAAATGCGTTTTGTTAAAATATACTTTTTCACTTTTTTGGTCTTTTGGAAAATGTTGTTTGTGCTGTATTTAGACCCCTCTACCAAGAAATTTGTTTTGCATGCACACGTATAAAAATTGCGGTTTTTATCCAACGCAATCATAGGTTTGAACGTCGTTTTCAATTTAGACATGTTTATATATATATATATATATTCATTATATCTCAATTTCCCTTAAAATGACCTAATCACAAACTTATACATTGTTGAAACAGCACCCCTAGATCTAGCTTTTTCAAGGCAAGACAAAAATAATGAAAAAGAGAAGACAAAATTTTGTTCTTTATGTTTCTTAATTTTTCAATGTCTGTGTTGTTTTTACTGGTACTGTCTTGTCTATCCTTTTCATTAAAAATTTGCAAATTTCAAAACTTCACATTAGGTCAAGATTTATTGATTAATGGTTGAAAATTTACATTACTGATGCTTATTGAATATGGTGATATCTAAGTGTTAGATTAAGAGTCAATAACCAATCTGCTAGTTGCCTGATGCCTAATGACTTAGTATAACTTGGCAAAGATATTTTTTTGGAATAACACGATAGGTTTCACATGTGGAGCAGGATTAGCTAACCCTTCTGCATTGGCAAAGATATTTTTTTGGAATAACACGATAGGTTTCACATGTGGAGCAGGATTAGCTAACCCTTCTGCATTATCTGAGATCACCAAGATATTTAGTGCCGTTGTGGTGCTCAGTCTTTAGTTTTCTACATTGTGTATGCAGTTGCTTGTCTTTTAGTCATTTTTATACGACCGCAAAAAAATTTTGAGGTCGTATATTGGTATGACGTTGGCGTCGTCGTCGTCCGGCGTCGTCGTCCGAATACACAATGGTTTTCGCACTCTAACTTTAGTTTAAGTGAATGGATCTCTATGAAATTTTACCATAAGGTTCAATACCACAATAGGAAGGTGGGGATTGATTTTAGGGGTTATGGTACCAACAGTTAAGGAATTAGGGGCCGAAAATAAGCATTTTTGTAACTTCCAGACATAACTTATGTGTTAGCATATGGATCTCTTTGACATTGTACCACAAGATTCCATATCACAAAGGGTCAATACTGGGATTGATTTTGGGGTTAATTGCCTCAAAATTTTAGGAATAAGGGGCCAAAAGGGGGCAAAAAACAAGCATTTTTCTAGTTTCATGACAATAACTTGTGTGTAAGTGTATGGATCTTTCTGAAATTTTACTACAAGGTTCCATTTCACAAAGGGAAAGCTGGAATTGAGTGTTGTGGTAATTGCCCAAAACGTTTAGTAATAAGGGGCCTAAAAAGGGGTTTAAAATAAGCATTTTTTAGTTTCTAGACAATAACTTGTGTTCAAGTGTATGGATCTCTCTAAAATTGTATTACAAGGTACCATACCACAAAGGCAAGGCTGTTATTGAGCTTGGTTTGGGGGGAAAGGGGGGTGGGGGTGATGAATCATAAGGGGGGCGGGGGTCAAAAAAGGGGTAATTTTTTTTTTCCTTTTTTTTGTTTAAAATTTACATTTTAAGTTAGTTATTTTTTATCACGAAGAGAAAGTAGGAATTGAGTTTTGGGGTTAATTGCTCAAACATTTATGAATAAGGGGCCAAATATTGGTCGAAAATAAGGATTTTTTTAGTTTGCAACAAAAACTTGTGTTCAAGTGTATGGATCTCTGTGAAATTGTATTGCAATGTACCATACCACACCATGTTTATGGCTCTAATGTTTAAGGAATAAGGGGAAAAAAGGTTAAAAAACAAGGGTTTCCATTTTAATAGACAAATAATTGAGTAAAGAACATTATTTAAAAGCAGTGTAAGGTTGGTAATTCAAACTCATTTAAATATCTCATCTACACTGCTTTTAAATTATGTAAATTGGAAATTTGCCAATAACTTTATTGTTAATAAATGCATTGGAAATTTGCCAACAATTTTAGTGTAATAAACTTCATTGGAAATTTGCCAATATAAAATTTTGCTGATGAAGGTTTTTTGTTTACCTTTAGCCTTGACTATGAAGTCATTTTCTATTTTTATAGCCTTATGATGTAGTTGAATTATTTAATACTTTTATGATGTGTTTAAATGGGGTTTTATCATGTTTATGGTTGCAAATTTATTGTTTTAGTATAATAAACTCCATTTAAAATTTGCCAATAAAAAAAATTTTTGTTTATTTTTAGCTATGATTATGATGTCATTTTCTATTTTACTTTTATGGTTGCAAAGAAATTTTTATTTTTAGATATTACTGTTAAATGATGCTGATTAAGGTTTTTGCTATGTTTAGCCATGACTATGATGTCATTTTCTATTTTAATATCTGTTATGATGTATTTAAATGGGCTTTTATGGTTACAAAGGAATTTTATTTTTAGATATTACTATAAAATGTTGCTGATGCTGATTAAGGATTTTGTTTATTTTTAGCCATGACTATGATGTCATTTTCTATTTTAATACCTTTATGATGTAATTTCCATTTTTAGATATTACTGTTAAATGATGCTGATTAAGGGTTTTTTGCTATGTTTAGCCATGACTATGATGTCATTTTCTATTTTAATATCTTTATGATGTATTTAAATGGGCTTTTATGGTTACAAAGGAATTTTATTTTTAGATATTACTTTAAATGTTGCTGATTAAGGATTTTTGTTTATTTTTAGCCATGACTATGATGTCACTTTCTATTTTAATACCTTTATGATGTATTTAAATGGGCTCCCATGTATTTAGATTTTTGATTATTTATACATGTTACCAAATTGGTCCACATTGAACAAAAACGGTCCAAATTTCAACTTTATTACATTACATCAAACATTGAATTCTACATATTCTTTGATATATTGAAATTAACAAACAATTTAGTTTATGGATATTCCACCATAATAGGTAAATTAAATTTTTTCCAGTTCTTACACCACATTCATCCTGTGTCAGAAACCTATGCTGTGTCAAATATTTAATGACAATCCAAAGTCATAGCTGTATCAAGCTTGAATTTTGTGTCCATACTTGCCCCAACTGTTCAGGGTTCGACCACTGCGGTCGTATCAAGCTGCGCCCCAGCGAAGCATTTTATTTATTTTGTTTTATGGCGTTTGTCAGTTTGTAAATCGACCTTTGAGTTTGAATATATCCCATTGGTATCTTCTACCCCTCTCGATTATTAAAATCTACTATTCAAATGTCATTTAATTGCATCAACATGATAATCCATGATGAAGGTTTCATATATTAATAAATAAAAAAAAACTTTAACCAAAGACTGAACTTTAAATATAGCGGACTATACATTATGGATTTTTCTCATTGTTAAAGGCTCTATGGTTGCCCATTATTGCTTACATCCACTTTCTTTGAACTTTGGTGGATAGTTGTCTTATTGGCAATATCATACCTCATCTCCTCATTTTAATATTTCTATTATCACCAGTTTAATTCGCCCTTTCAGAATCTAAATAAATGCATTCTGTTCTGGGTAATATTTTCGAAGCGTACACCAAAACGTTGTGATTGGTTTAAAAAGTTCTAAACAATAGAAATTCAACCAATGAGGTAATGTTATTTTCATTTTGGTGTACGAACAATTAGATTACCCATAATCCTTTAGATTCTGAAAAAGGTGAATTATTTCTTAATTATTCTTCCTTTGTCTAATTTGTACAATATACAAATAAGATATTAATGTATTTACTTACATGTTCAGCTATCAACAAAAAAGGCTTCCTTTTAAAGTCTGACTTGAATAGTGAAGGTGTAGCCTAGATCTGTTTTACTATGAAGCTGTAAATTAAAAAAAAAATAACATCATTATGTCAATATGTGCTTAGGAACAGGATCAAACAAAGCAATAACGAGAAGAAAGGCATACATACATCTGGAAGTCTTAAAAGATTTTTTTTAGATCTCAATCCTTTGAGCCTTCTATTTAAATCTGGGTCAATGAATTAAGAAATACTCAAATAGTTCATAAAATGAAAATAAGCCAAGAAAATGTTTTACTAAGGGCTATCAAAAAGTATAGTATACAGTTTTTATAAACAAAATGAAATTCTAGATATTCCTCAAGGTTCTGAGCATCAGTTTCAGATTACTGTTCAATTTTTATGTCAAAATCTTTTAAGCTATTGTTGCTGTCAACATGGTCAAATCTACAATTACCGGACCCTCATAACTTTATATATTTTAATTTGAATGAGCTGTCAACAAGACAATATATGAATTACTGAAACTCTAATATTCAATTATTATAATATAATTGACAATATATTATTATCTACTTGAAAAGTAATGTTTGATGAGATTATAATCTTAATTTCAGGCATGCAAGTATAGAAATAACCTGCAGTATGAAGGATTTAATCAATATTTGGTTATGTTTTTGTAACATCATTTTTGAACAATAAAGCCAAAAAATGTATACACATATTTGCTGTCTCCTGGCAGAAAGCTAGGGTAGATAGATAAAATAATTGTATTTTTTATTTTTATTTATTCTAAATTATTAATTTACTATATACAACATGTTCTGAACTTAAATGGTGCTTTACCAAACAAATTTTGACTTTTACCAGTACTTTACAAAAAAAAAAGCCAGAAAATACGCAAGTAAATTGAAAGGGAGACAAAAAAAAAAGAACTTTACCATATTCTGACCTAAACATCAAACTTTATTTTAGTATACTTGAATAGGAAACATTTCTTGTTTTACTATTAAATTACCTTCAGCTTAATAACTTGATTACAACCAAAATACTACAAACTTCTGTAGCCAAATGTGATTCTCTGAAGCACTGCTAAAGTATCATGTACTTTATCCATCTTATATCATGTGTATATATATACATGACAGTATATATTTGCCTCAAATTCAGATTTTTTCTGGAAAAATAAATATTCAAATAAATGTACATGAACATGAACTTTAGTCCACATATTATGCCTCCTTCTACTGACTGACAAACAAATGGCACATAATCATCTTTAGTAATGTTAATAATATGAACAGTATATACATGTAACATGTTATCATTAAAGATTAACATCATTGCATAGGGATTTTATGCTGAGTGACTTAAATATTTCTTTGTGTGTATGTATAAATCTTTCTTTTTTTCTTTCTTTATTTTACATTCCTTTTGTTGTGTGATATTTAATTAATTTTGTATATATATATTTATTATATCTCGATTATATGGGGCCAACTTGGACGAGTATTCTAAGTAGTCGAACTTCTGTATCACCAGCCAGCAGCCAGTCAACACTAAGGTTGTGAGTTCAAATCCTGTACGTGGCAAGTGAACTTAACTCCAATCTTAATGGACTAGGATTGTCAGTTTTCCTACCAAAGGTCATGGTTCTCTCCAGCTTCCTCCATCAATAAAACCTGGATGCCACAAAATAGCACCATAGTGTTAAAAGTGGCGCTAAACATCAATCATTCAATATCTCAATTATGAGAAAATAAAGACATCAATGAATCAATAAATGTCCATTAGTTTTGTTTTTTTTTATTATTAGCATTAACAGTAGTTTTTTTGGTATAATGATTCCAATTATGCAATCTAATTGTACCACACAGTGTGTTAAAAATTTAATAAACAGCTGCGATAGGACTGCACGATTACAAGCCCTCCAAATTCATATCAAATTTGTTTAAAGTATAAAATGAAATGTTGTAGAATCAGACATGATTTTATAAGTCATTTTTTATTAGCTCACCTGGCCCGAAGGGCCAAGTGAGCTTTTCTCATCACTTGGCGTCCGGCGTCGTCCGGCGTCGTCCGTCGTCGTCCGTCGTCGGCGTTAACTTTTTACATTTTGAACTTCTTCTAGAGAACCACTGAATGGAATGAAACCAAACATGGCATGAATGTTCCTTATGAGGTGCTGACCAAGTGTTGTTACTTTGTAGCCGATCCATCATCCAAGATGGCCGCCAGCGGGGGACTTAGTTTAACATAGGACCCTATGGGAAATGCATACAAATGACTTCTTTTAGAGAACCACTGAATGGAATAAAACCAAACATGGCATGAATGTTCCTTATGAGGTGCTGACCATGTGTTGTTACTTTGTAGCCGATCCATCATCCAAGATGGCCGCCATCGGGGAACTTAGTTTAACATAGGAGCCTATGGGAAATACATACAAATGTCTTCTTTTAGAGAACCACTGAATGGAATGAAACCAAACATGGCATGAATGTTCCTTATGAGGTGCTGACCAAGTGTTGTTACTTTGTAGCCGATCCATCATCCAAGATGGCCGCCAGCGGGGGACTTAGTTTAACATAGGACCCTATGGGAAATACATAAAAATGTCTTCTTTTAGAGAACCACTGAATGGAATGGAACCAAACATGGCATGAATGTTCCGTATGAGATGCTGACCAAGTGTTGTTACTTTGCAGTCTGTCCATCATCCAAGATGGCCGCCAGCGGGGGACTTAGTTTAACATAGGACCCTATGGGAAATACATACAAATGTCTTCTTTTAGAGAACCACTGAATGGAATGAAACCAAACATAGCATGAATGTTCCTTATGAGGTTCTGACCAAGTGTTGTTACTTTGTAGCCGATCCATCATCCAAGATGGTCGCCAGCGGGGGACTTAGTTTAACATAGGACCCTATGGGAAATACATACAAATGTCTTCTTTTAGTGAACCACTGAATGGAATGAAACCAAACATGGCATGAATCTTCCTTATGAGATGCTGACCAAGTGTTGTTACTTTGTAGCCGATCCATCATCCAAGATGTCCCCCAGCGGGGGACTTAGTTTTACATAGGACCCTTTGGGAAATACATAAAAATGTCTTCTTTTAGAGAACCAATAAATGGAATGGAACCAAACATGGCATGAATGTTCCTTATGAGATGTTGACCAAGTGTTGTTACTTTGCAGCCGATCCATCATCCAAGATGGCCGACAGCGGGGGACTTAGTTTAACATAGGACCCTATGGGAAATACATACAATTGTCTTCTTTTAGAGAACCACTGAATGGAATTGAACCAAACATGGCATGAATGTTCCTTATGAGTTGCTGACCAAGTATTGTTACTTTGCAGTAGATCCATCATCCAAGATGGCCGCTAGGGCGGGGGGGGGGTATGGGGCTTAGTTTAACATAGGACCCTATGGGAAATACATACAGATGTCTTCTTTTAGAGTACCACTGAATGGAATGAAACCAAACATGGCATGAATGTTCCTTATGAAGTGCTGACCAAGTGTTGCTACTTTGTTGCTGATTTACTGTTCAAGATGGCCACCAGGATATTTTATTAAATAACGGGACCAATATTAATCAAAATTTGGCCTCAATCATTATTTGGGTATCTGTTATGATTTTTATCTATCTTTACATGATTTCTAAAACCAAAGTAGAGTCAGGTGAGCGACACAGGCTCTTGAGAGCCTCTAGTTTTTATTTTTTTAAAGGTAACAATGACAAATGAATGAGTTGCATCTGATGTCATGCCAAGTAGTCATATTATATTGGGGTGGTTGTAATTTCCTTAGAATTTCTTTAGAAAGATACTTCATTAAGTAAAATTAATTTTTATATTACGGGTGGTTGGTGTAAAAAAAGACCCTGTTAGATAATTCCTGAATAGCTCCAAGATATATCTATTGTTCATGTTGTTTAGTCACTTCTTAGGTACATTTGTATATGTACCGTATATATAGTTAGTTTTTTTAGTTACACATTTAAATGATTATTCGATTCTTATCACCTTTTACATTTGACTTATCAATTTTTGTATGCATTACATAACGTCCTTCAGTTGTCCAGTGGCAAATATTTAATGCTAACATTCAGAACATTTTGTTCTGCAAAGTTACTTAAATATCATATGTAGCATTAATGTACAACAAATTAAATCTATTCTTCCTCTGCACATATGTTGCAAGCCAAAAGGCATGTTGTTCTTTTTAAAGCACACTGTTTTATTAAATGCATTACATTTCATAGAATGGAAATAGTGCATACATATCTGTTGGAACTTTGCTGAATTGTCCTGGTAACGTTGAACTGGACATCTCTCCCTGTCATTTTCTTTCTCATGTCTGGAATTTTCAAACAGATCCTCCATACTTCGTTCATGCCCTGCTTATTATCTGTCATATAGAAAAAAGAAATGCATAAATTTTAAGTATTTTTTTACACATACAGTTATTGTCATAGTCTGTCAAACTTTAAATTGGGAAAATTACAGTGAACTACCAAAATTGTGTGGTAAATATTAATAAGTGGAACAATGAAAGGTAATTGCCTGATAATTAACTCAAGTGTCATTCTATGATCATGAACAATCTTGACATATATTTAACTGGTGAAATAAAATGAGTTATGTGGTGTATGTCTATGAGACATGTGTAGTTTATATACCACTCCAGACAGATAAGTGTAAGTGATCAATACATGTAGGTCCTCAGTACCTGCAGCTGAATGTTAAAAAGCCCCTATTTATTTATTGAAGTCTTGTAAAAATCAAAACCCACATATATTTATGTCTAAGGATGTTCGTTCCTCATGTTTTTGAGTTTTTGCCAGATATTCAGAATCCTCTGGCTTTATCCATGATATTCTGACATTAAAAAAATCCCAATAATCTCTACTTTTCTTTTCATAATTTTATTTTGAATAGATATATAAATATAAAGTAATTTATCTATAAATATGAACTTTAGTTCTCTTTCATACTGGTGAAGTAAATCAGAGACATTATATATGATGTCTCTGAGTCAGTCTGAGTAAAATTGAGAATGGAAATAGGGAATATGTCAAAGAGACAACAACCCAACAAAGAGCAGATAACAGCCGAAGGCCATCAATGGGTCTTTAACGAAGCCAGAAAATCCCGCACCCGAGGTGGGCCTCAGCTGGCCCCTCCATAATAATGTGTACTAATTGAGTAATTCAGTGAAAATGGACGTCACACTTAACTCCAAAACATATAAATGAACTAAAATTTAAAAACAAACAAGACTAACAAAGGTAAGAGGCTCCTGACTTCGGAGCGGCAAAAAAATGCGATGGGGTTAAACATGTTTTGTGAGATCTCACCCCTCCCCCTATACCTCTAGCCAATGTAGAATAAAGAAACACACAGCAATACGCACAGTAAAATTCAGTTTAAAACTTAAAAAAAAATATTTATTTTTTACAGAGATTAAATTATATACAAAACATGCTAGTCAGCCTAGTGCCTGTGGTAATTTCTTTCAAAAGTTGGGTATTACTATTAGTGTGATCATTTGGTCTTCATGATTAACTCATAAAAATCATACGGCCCAGGCATGTATAAATGTTGTCAGGACAGTAAAATTTTAATGAAAAAGGACTCACAAGTCACAAACCATAGGCCCTAAATGATTTAAATTTAAAGGAATTTAAAAGTTTATGACGGGTTTTTCCAATTTTCAGGCAGTCAAGTGTTTCATGAAGACTGTATTTGTTCAGGGAATGGTACGTTTTAATTAACTATTGTACACATACCTTCATAACGGGGTTGTTAAATAAAATATACCTGTTATATCTTCAAGAGTATCTGCATTACTTTCCATTGCCACTACTGTGGTGTCAAAATTGGTGTCGTCCAAATGTGTCGTCTGAGACGCTCGTTTCTGTGAACCGTACGGGATAATTCTCTGAGAGACGAAGCACATCAATTCTCATTTAAACTGAATTTACCGATTGTATTTCATGTTTAAATATTCAAATAATTAATTAAATTAAATATTTAAATTATATCAAGCTACCAGCTGGATAACAAAACAATGTTAATAAATTGATTCCGCTTCTGGTGGGTTACACACCGATTCCGAAATTTTTCAAGGTGTGCGGTATTTCCCGCGGTTATTTTTGGCAAGCAATCTCCATGTCAATGTGATAACAGTCCATATGAAACTGACAGACTTACAGAGTCTGTGTACTGTACAATGACGGAACTGTAGAAGTAAAAAAAAAGTTCTGTCTCGGGTCTACTGTACTGTGTACTTGTGACTTTAAAAATATGCAGTGCAGGTAAGTTCGATACAGTTTTTTTTCTGATTTTTTTTTACCCTACGGCTACACTAAAGTTTAGTTAAAACATATATTTTATTTAAATAACCTTAACACAAATTCGATAAGACACAAGTCAAACCGATTTATGAACTCTTTTTCCATATTCAGTGGTGGATCCATAAATGACATAAATTTTAATAAAAGGGGGTGGGGGATGGCATTGATTGTCTAAGGTAAATCCCACAATTAAGGGGGGCATTGCATGACTGCCTAAGGTTAAGCCAACAAAAGGGGGCATTGACTGCCTAAGGTTAAGCCCACAAAAAGGGGGGGGGGGCTGAGCATTAAATCTGTCTCTGATATTAGTACAGGTGAACATTAGGGGAATGACACACTTTTGGGTTGTGGGATATCGAGGTTAAAAAAAGGGGATTTTTCATATTGGGGGTGAAAAAGTGGGGATGTGGGATTTAGTTGGATTCTTCAATCTTTGTTTTGATGACAGGATAATTCTCTTCTCTTGTTAAACGATATTTTCAGTTGTAATTTCTCCTTAATTTGTACTTCAGGGGGTTAAATCTAATTGATGATATCATGTCAGTCAGCTTTGAACAGCTGTCTTTTATTTTATGTTTAGCTTACACATTTATGACATTACTACAAACTTGAGCTACATGTAAACAAATATTTAAGAGTAATATTTCTATTGTGTAATAAATAATACCATTATAAAAATGAAAGATTTTTTTCCATCAATTGAATAATTTGATATGTTTTTAGGGATACAGCAAGTTCCCAAGTTCTTAGTTAATGAACAGAGAAAATTGTTGAGGAGCTCATTGGGGAAAAAAAAGAAATTAACAAAGGAAATGTACTTTTTCAATAAGGAGAAGAAGTAAAAGCAGCAGGTATTATATACTTATTTTATACTTGATTAACTTGGCTGTAACGGTCAAACGATTGAGATAAATAAATGAAAAGAAATGTCATCTATATTTCAATGAATTAGCACCCGAACAAACAACAAAACCAGTAGAGGCATCTTTTGGTTAAAACAAAAGACTTCAATATACATTGTATGTGTCAATACAAATGTAAAATAAATAGGATGTGGTAAGATTGCCAATGAGACACTCTCTCCAAGAGACCTAATGATACAGACATTAACAACTATAGGTCACTGTATGGCCTTCAACAATGAGTAAAACCTATAATGCATAGACAGCTATAAAAGGCTACTAAATGACAAATGTAAAACAATTCAAATTTGATTGTCTCTGCTCGTGAATATTATGTACTGGGTACATGTATCCGAGATTACCAAAGAATGGTCTTGGGCAGATATCCTGAAATGACTAAAAGGTTAAAGATATAAATAAAGGCTATATATATTAGCTTGTCCATGCAGCCTCATTATCTAAGCAGACCAAGAGAACTTGTATTATTGTTTTTGTCCCGTCAATCTGACCGTCACAAAATTTTCTTCAGTATTACTGTAAACTTTGTATCAGGCATGCATTGAGTTTTGTCATTCTTCAGTGTTACTGTAAACTTTGTATTGAGTCTTGTCATTGTACATATACATTTAAATATATAAATGTCTAAGCAGTTTCTTATTTCATTGGGTATGGTAATATATCTTGGATTCAACCTTCAAAACTTCAATTTTCATCCTCATTTGCTTTTTCATCACTTCTTCCTTCAAATCCCATAAATGTAGTTTTTATTGTCGAGCCTGCGACTTTAGTCGCTGAAAGCTCGACATAGGGATAGTGATCCGGCTGTGGCGGCAGCAGCGTTAACTAACTTCTTAAAAGCTTTATATTTTAGAAGGTGGAAGACCTGGATGCTTCATAAATTGTATATAGATGCCTTATGTTACAAAGTTTCCGTCTGTCACATGTCCATTGTCCTTGACCTCATTTTCATGGTTCAGTGACTACTTGAAAGAAATGTTAAGATTTTTTGTAATGTTAATTTCTCTCTTATTATGAGTATTGGATAACTATATTTGGTATGTGCGTACCTTGCAAGGTCCTCATGTCCCTCAGACAGTTTTCACTTGACCTCGACCCCATTTCATGGATCAGTGAACAAGGTTAAGTTTTGGTGGTCAAGTCCATATCTCAGATACTATAAGCAATAGGTCTAGTATATTTGGTGTATGGAATGATTGTAAGGTGTACATGTCCAACTTGCAGGTGTCATCTGACCTTGACCTCATTTTCATGGTTCAGTGGTCAAAGTTAAATTTTTGAGTTTTGGTTTTTTTTTCTAATACTATATGCAATAGGTCAACTATATTTGGTGTGTGGAAATATTTTATTATGTACATATCAGTCTCGCAGGTTTTATTTGACCTTGACCTCATTTTCACAGTTCATTGTTCAGTGTTAAGTTTTTGTGTTTCGGTCTGTTCTTTAACTATAAGCAATAGGTCAACTATATTTGTTGTATGGAAGGATTGTAAGCTGTACATATCTGCCTGGCATGGTTCATCTGACCATGACCTCATTTTCATGGTTCATTGGTCAATGTTTAGTTTTCTTGGTTAAGTCTGTTTTTTAGAAACTGTTAGCAATAGGTTAACTATATTTAGTGTATTGAATGATTGTAAGGTGTAAAAATATACATACTACAAGTATTTCTCGTTTGGTTTATATGACCTTGACCTCATTTTCTTGGATCATGTTAAGTTTATGTGATAGTTGTAGTTCAGCTTTATATTTAGGACTATCAACATAATATCAATGGTTAGTAAAGAAGGCGAGACATTTCAGGGTGTGCACTCTTGTTTTTATAATATACATGATATATTTATACAGTCGCAAATTTAAGTTAATGGATCTTTATGACACCACAAGGTTCCATACCTCAATAGGAAGGTTGGATTGATTTTGGGGGTTATGGCCTTAACCATGTTAACAGTTTAGGCATTAGGGGCCAAAAATAACACTTTGTTTATTTTTTGTACATGTATAAACTGCTTTTTTCTTGACCAATTTCAATTGTGTTTAATTCAAAGTCTTTATTTTATTTTTTCAAACCTTGTTACTTGTATATAGATTTGGCCTCCTTTTTAAAATAGGTCCACATTGAGGTCCCTAGGGTACAAATTTAAACTTTGTCGTTTGAAGACATATAAAATTTAATAATTTATTGGTTCTATTATATGAGATATCTAACTGTTAAGTTAAAATTTTAATTTTGAGCCCTGTTTTTAAATTGGTCCCCATTAAGAAGCAAAGGGTCCAAAAGTAAACTTTGTTTGATTTCAACAAAAATTGAATTTTTGGGGTTCTTTGATATGCTGAATCTAATCGTTTAGTTAGATTTCTGATTTTGGGCCCCATTTTCAAATTGGTCTATATACCTCTGTGGTCAGTCATATCAAGCTGAGCCTTGCATTTTATTTTCAAATTGGTTAACTTATACTCATGTTAGAATTAAAAAATTTTGTATGTATAAAATCGAGAATGGAAATGGGGAATGTGTCAAAGAGACAACAACCCGACCATAGAGCAGACAACAGCCACCAATGGGTCTTCAATGCAGCGGGAAACTCCTGCACCCGGAGGCGTCCTTCAGCTGGCCCCTAAACAAATATGTATACTAGTTCAGTGATAATGGACGTCATACTAAACTCCAATTTATACACAAGAAACTAAAATTAAAAATGATACAAGACTAACAAAGGCCAGAGGCTCCTGACTTGGGACAGGTGCAAAATTTATGCATACTCAATTTAATATAATATTATTATCCTATTGTATACAGAAGTAAAACTTGTGTCTGATCCTATTTAAGTCAATTGTTCGAATAAAATAATCATAAACTAAAACATTCATATGATGTAGTTTTGCATCTTCTATTTAGAGCATGTTCAGTACCAGTAGAATTCAACGACAAAATTAATAAGCTATTATTATAATTTCTTTGTTCTTACTACTTTTCTTATGTTTGCAGGGAAAATTGACACAGAGTGATACATCTTCTATGAATAAAAAGAGGAAATAAGTGTCTGCAGCAGTAAATCATTATAACAACAAGACTGTGAAAAGACGATATCAGAACATGAAATGAGTTTTATTTCTTTTAAAAAGAATTGTTACGGAATATACCTCTTGTGATTCTAATGAAAACCATTGTCAACTTGAAGTAAAGGAAGATTTTATAATTTGATAGAACAGGAAATAAAGGAAGACTCATTTAGAGCATAACAAAGCACAATGTATATTTCTAATTAGTTTGTTAATTCAGAATAACCCTGGTGAAGGAATTATAGTTTACAGTAAACAACATACAATACACTTACAATTTCATGTTTTGCAATTGGTGAATTTTTATGTTGTACTCAGGTAAAATTTATATGACAGATGCATTACCTTAAATATTCACTGAACACATGAAAATCCAACATAGCCATTGCAAAAATAACTTGCACTTACATGTACATATGTTATTCATGTGATATTAATATGAAATTCACATCACGATCATGTGAAAATATAGATGTGAAATAACACAACTTTTACACTTTAAAATAATGTGAAAAAATCTAAATGTGAAATTAACACAATATTTACACGTTAAAATCACGTTTAAAAATTTACGTGTGAAATTAACACAATATTTACACGTTAATATCACGTTAAAAAATTTACATGTGAAAATAACGTTACGTTTAAATGTGAATATCACGTGAGCAGATTAAAACGTGATTATCACGTGAGAATCTTGTGTGTGTCAAATACAGGTGATATAAACGTTTAAACGGTGTGATACACACGTGGAAATAACATAGTTTTCACGTAATGAGCACAAACGTTAAACACACGTTGGAAAAAATTGCCTGTGTACAGGAGATTTTAAGAACAAATGGTGAGTTGAACCTTGTTTTATGGCTAGGCAAACCTCTCGCTTATATGGCAATGTTAAAAAATATCGTTAAAATGACAACACTACGTGACAGGAATATAGTACAAACAAACGAAAGAACACTCAGCACAGAGAAATGCATAAATAAATAATATAATATAAAAATAAGGAGATGTGGTATGATTGCCAATGAGACAACTATCCACCAAAGTTCAAATAAAGTGAATGTAAGCAATTATAGGCAACCGTACGGCCCTCAACAATGAGAAAAACCAGTACCGTGTGGTCGGCTGTAAAAGGCCCCGACATGAAAAATATGAAACAATTCAATTGAGAAAACTAACGGCATAATTTATAACAAAACAGTTTACGAAAAACAAATATGACAGACATGAACCAACGACAACCATTGAACTAGAGTCTCCTGACTTGGGACAGGCACATAAAGAATGTTGCGGGGTTAAACAACGTTTTTGAGCGCTAAAGCCTACCCCTAACCTGGGACAGTGGTGTAACAGTACAACATATGGACAAACTATAAAACTCAGTTGAAAAAGGCTTAACTCATCAGATGGATACAAATAGAAATACATCTAACAAATTACAAAGTAGACGTGGACGGGTACTTGTACATCCCAAAAACAAAAAGACACTAAGTACAGATCTGAGAGTACTCGCAGTTACTGACAGCTAGTTCAAAGCCAATAACAACTAATGAAAAAAATCATGTATCTAAGACTAAAATATCATTCAGTACACATCCAACATCCAATGGATTTAGTGTAAAGACGTCATAAACAGTCAGAGAAAAACATGACCTTGTGCAATAATAAGTATCGACAGACTTTAGTACCGTGAAAGTACATATGTGTAATATTTCGTATGGTTTTAATTTACTTATAACAAAATCAATATTTACACCAATAAAAACAATATTCAAAGATTTAATTACAGTGTTGAATAGGTTACCTTTTTGAATAAATTTATTTAAAGTTTACCCGGATCGTATCTAAATTTCCGGGCTTGGTTTACAACATCACCGTAAAATTTAGGATGTGCTATTCCGTTTGAAATAAGTTTTCTACAGGTACAGCCAAACTTGCAGACCAAATCTTTGTATCTATGAAAGAATTTAGTAAAGGTTTTAAGTAATTTGTGGTAACAAAATCCCTGACTTAATAATTTACAAGTAATACATAGATTTCGCTCATTAAAATCCAAAACGTCACTACAGACACGAAAATAACGAACGAGTTGGGATATATAAACACTGTCAGACGGTGCCAAAGGAACATCACCGTCCAAAAAGGGAAAATTAACAATAGGGAAAGAAAAATCATCCTTTTTGTCGTAAATTTTTGTGAAGAGTTTCTGGTGTAAAACTGAAATATCTAAATCTAGGAAAGGACAGTTATTGCTGTTGATATTAGATTTATTTAAAGTAAGTTCCTTTGGGTAAATTTCAGCAGTATAGTTAGAGAATTCTTGATTATTTAACGAAAAAATACCACCAAGATAACGGTAAGTGTTGTTGAATTTTTCAATTAAATGGAATTTAGACGGTTCTTTTCTGAGTTTGGCCATAAACTGTGATTTATAACCGTAAAGGTACAAGTCTGCTATTAAAGGGACACAATTGGTGCCCATAGGAATACCTATAATCTGTCGATAAACTTTATTGCCGAAACGTACATAAATGTTGTCAAGGAGAAAATTAAGTGCTTTAATCATCTCATCACAAATCCAGTAAGTATATCTAGCATATTTACCTTTCTCATTAGAGAAAAAGGCTTTATATGAGTTGCAGCAAATAAATTTGCAACCAGATTTATCAAACGACCGTTCAATTAGATAGGAAAACTTTTGTTTGATAAGATTGTGTGGAAGTGTAGTATAAAGAGTGGAAAAGTCAAAACTGTCAAAAGGATCAAAAGGATCATCAAATGCACGTAAATTATCTAAAACATCCAAAAAAAATTTTACACTCCAAAAATGGTTAATTGCACTGTTTTCATATCTTTTATTACAAAAATTAACGATAAGTTCTTTGATAGTAGTTAATTATAAGGAACTCGTTAAAAACACAGAAAGGTTACTAGTAGAACACTTACTAGAGGCCGAGATGAAACGATATTTTATGGTTTTTTTGTTTAGTTTAGGTAACCAATACATAGTGGGGACCTTCAAATGTTCCGAGGAGGCCTTAAGCTGAGCTGTGGTAGTGACATGATTATTTACTATTGTACTCTCTGTGGAGCGTACGGCCTTGAATTAGTTGAATGTATAATTTCATTCTTAAGGACTTCCATGTAGTATTTACGTCATACCACCACCACATTGTTGGCTGCTTTGTCGGCCGGTACGAACACAAAACGCTTTGATAGTACTTGGATTTTGTTTCTAATCCTTGAATTGTGCGTATTACACACTCTTTTATTTATTTCTAAATTATTTTCGAAATGTGTTATGCGAATATCAACAATATTCATACATTTATTAAAATAGCAATCATTTGACTTTTTGTCAGATTTCTCCCGTTTACAACATTTTTTACAGTAGGATGAAAGAGCATCTTTAATACCTGACGACACTCTTCCCAATTTATTTTCGACGATAGTCCTTTTTTCAGAAAGTTTATAACCTCTCGGTCTTGAATGATGTTGAGGTCCCCTGTACTTACGTGACCATAGGGATCATATCTAAACTTCGATGTTTCACAGTCTCATATTGAAGGAGCATTATTTTCTATACTGACATCTGATGTAACTGACGTATAATTAAAAATTAAACTTCTACTGTTTTTTTTATACGAATAAGAAATTAACGGTGGCTCAATGTTAATAAAATGTGGAGGTATAAAGTTTTGAACGATAGAGTCATGAAAAATTCTAGACAAATTAATAAAATCAATACCTCTATTAATGTATTTTATTTTTAGAAAATACTTTTTATGATCTTCAGGTTTGTCAATTTGAGGGAACAGTCTATGGTAACAAAAAGATGTAATAATCCGTGTACTCTCATATTTTGGACTGAAAAACGATATTGTATCACACTCGTTATAAATATTATGAAATTTACTAATTGGTATTTGACCCAGTTTGCATAATAATTGATGTCTACCATTGTTTTAAAATATAGATAAAAAATCATCAAGTGTAAAATTAGATTGCGGTTAATGCGTAGTACATTACAACATGTAAACCACAGAATAACAACGGACATCTCCCATTAACGACAGCACAGGACACCACAAACTGCTCGTCACATGAATGGATCAACGCCACAAAAAGTGACGTATTTTTGTGACGTATATATAATCTTGAAATTCATACAACTATATGGAACGAGATCCATAAATTCACAGTTATTTCACAATACTATTCCAAATAATTATCATGATTATGACAGTCTTGAAAGGCTATTTTAAATTAATGCTGTGACGACGTCATAATTATTTGGACTAACACAATACTTTATCCATGGAAAATGGAAATCAACTTTACTATACTGAGAATTCAAACCACAAACGATAAGACATAACACAATATCGAGCCGTACTTACAAAAGAAACATCATAACTAAATACATGAATGTTGGATGTATAAATACCGAGAAACGTCCAGTAGGATGAAAGAGCATCTTTAATACCTGACGACACTCTTCCCAATTTATTTTCGACGATAGTCCTTTTTTCAGAAAGTTTATAACCTCTCGGTCTTGAATGATGTTGAGGTCCCCTGTACTTACGTGACCATAGGGATCATATCTAAACTTCGATGTTTCACAGTCTCATATTGAAGGAGCATTATTTTCTATACTGACATCTGATGTAACTGACGTATAATTAAAAATTAAACTTCTACTGTTTTTTTATACGAATAAGAAATTAACGGTGGCTCAATGTTAATAAAATGTGGAGGTATAAAGTTTTGAACGATAGAGTCGTGAAAAATTCTAGACAAATTAATAAAATCAATACCTCTTTTAATGTATTTTATTTTTAGAAAATACTTTTTATGATCTTCAGGTTTGTCAATTTGAGGGAACAGTCTATGGTAACAAAAAGATGTAATAATCCGTGTACTCTCATATTTTGGACTGAAAAACGATATTGTATCACACTCGTTATAAATATTATGAAATTTACTAATTGGTATTTGACCCAGTTTGCATAATAATTGATGTCTACCATTGTTTTAAAATATAGATAAAAAATCATCAAGTGTAAAATTAGATTGCGGTTAATGCGTAGTACATTACAACATGTAAACCACAGAATAACAACGGACATCTCCCATTAACGACAGCACAGGACACCACAAACTGCTCGTCACATGAATGGATCAACGCTACAAAAAGTGACGTATTTTTGTGACGTATATATAATCTTGAAATTCATACAACTATATGGAACGAGATCCAAAAATTCAGTTATTTCACAATACTATTCC